CTGCCATGGCTGCATCAGTTCTCTTCTCGAATGACACGGCAGCAATCTGTAAATCCCTCCAACTCAGATAACGCATTCACCATGAAGGCTCTCAAGAACTACTTTGTTAGCGAACACCCAGTCGACCAAATCAATACCCCAGGAAGCCGTTCCGAGTCGGAGAGCTCCCGGCGGTCTTCTACAAACCATCGAAAATCCAGTTCACTGAAATCCCAGTCTTCCCAACAGCCCCCTCGCACCAATAACAAGCCAGACACATGCTTGCCTGTCTGGGCAGGACAGGATCTGGGCCCTGTCGCAGACATCAGGGCAGAGATTATGGTACAGAACCTGTGGCAAGACCAGCTGCGCAGAGTCTACGCGTCTGGATTTGACCCAGAGGAAGGTGCCGTTTTGAAGAAGGGCCGAGGAGACTACATCTGTGCTCCAGCCAGCCTGGAAACGATCCCGAATGGCTTCTTCGAGATGGTTCGCCAGCTAAACGTCAGCGTGGGTAGGTCCCTTCCAGCCTGCAGGAGCCAGCCACTAATTTGGGACAGTGTGCCATTACAGTCAACTCACCGGTTGTTCAGTCCATCATGCTGAGAGTGCCCGACCACCTGCAGTCGCTTCCAGTGTCCGATGGCCTAAAACTTCAAGTGCTCCCGAGTATGAGGCACCTCCCCAGCTGTCACAAACATCACTTTGCCGCCTTTGTCAAGGACCCTCCAACGTTGGTGGTGTGGGACGATGATCCGCAGAAGGTTCTTTCAAGAGCCGAAAATATCGAGCAAATGATTGTCAGATACGTCTGGCACATGGCTGATGAATTGGATCAGCGGGCCGAGAAAGGACACGCGCTGGAGCCTATCCCAGAAGAAATCTCACTAGCGGACCTGGAGAATGGCGCCGTCGCTGAGGTGAGGCCCTTGAAGCTGAGCAGCAGCATCATTGTATCTCTTGCTCTCTGCCTCTCCATCTCCTGTCTCGGCCTTGGTTGGAGAGCCTTGGCTCTGCAAACGACGGTTGACGGCTCTTACTTGAGGATGTGTCTCATCATCGTTGCACCACTCACAATCGCCGTCAGTCTTGTAGGTGGTCTTCTTTGACATTGTTGGTTCCTGCTACTAACTTGATCCAGTTCTTCTTCCTCATTATCGTGGCCGATATATTTGAACTCGTAGGCCCTGTTGGCTGCGTCCTTGAGAACTCGCAGAACTATTCAGGCAAGGCTCCGCGACGTCTAGACAGAGCCCAAGGTGCATTTCCCCACGTCACTATACAGATGCCAGTCTACAAGGAAGGCCTGAACCCCGTCATCAAGCCCACTGTTCTGTCAGTCAAGACTGCCATTTCAACATACGAGATGCAGGGAGGCAGCGCCAACATATTTGTCAATGACGACGGTATGCAGCTGCTATCTGAAGACGAGGCGCAGATGCGTCGGGAATTCTATGACGAGCACAACATCGGCTGGACGGCTCGGCCAAAGCATGACCCGAAGCCCAAAGACTCCACGACGCGTCCTTTTGTCCGACGAGGGCGATTCAAGAAGGCGTCGAATATGAATTACGGCCTCAGGATCAGTAACCTGATCGAAGACAAGCTCTTGACCGTGGAACGCCATGAGAATTGGAATCAAGACGCGGAATTAGAAGCATACAGACGATGCATGGACGAGGTCCTTGAAGAGGATGAAGGACGCACCATGGCCGGCGGCAATGTCCGCATCGGGGAATACATTCTCCTGATTGATTCCGATACCAGAGTCCCGAGTGACTGTCTCCTCGACGCCGTCAGCGAAATGGAGGCATCGCCACAAGTCGCCATTATCCAATACACATCAGGTGTGATGAATGTTAGCGACTCGTTTTTCGAAAAGGGGTACGTGTTGCCATTGTCGTTTAACCTTGAGCTTTGCGTTGGATAACTGCTGACGTTCGGCCCCAGAGTTACTTGGTTTACCAACCTGATCTACACCAGCATCACCTTTGCCGTGGCCTTGGGCGACATTCCACCCTTCGTAGGGCACAATGCTATCCTGCGATGGTCAGCGCTGCAGGACGCCGCCTCCTACATTTGCGAGCATGATCAGTGCGAGAAGTTCTGGTCCGAATCCCACGTCTCCGAGGACTTTGACATGGCGTTGCGACTGCAGACCTCGGGCTACCAGCTGCGCTTCGGGGCCTACACAGGCGACGGCTTCAAGGAGGGCGTGTCACTGACCGTCTATGACGAACTGATGCGCTGGGAAAAGTACGCGTACGGCGTGAACGAGCTGCTGTTCCATCCTTTCCGAAAGTGGCCTTATAAAGGTCCCTTCACGCCACTATTCCACCAGTTCGTTTGGTCAAATATCCCATTCTACAAGAAGTGCACCATAATGGCATATATCACGACATACTATGCAATTGGTCTATCGTGGCCATTGACCCTCCTCAACTACTTTCTCACGGGTTGGTTTTTCGGCCACTATGACAAGTACTATATCGATTCGTTCGCCGTCTATTTCGCCATCATTGTCGTCTTTCCTGTGGCGAGCAATGTCTGTCTTGCTGTGCTGCGTTATCGGCTGGGGCAACAGGGCCTCATACAAGCTCGTACGTGTGCCCCTCTCTTCTTTGAGTGCCTTCATGTGTCAGATGAGCCCGACGCGGAGACTTGCTAACGACTTAGTCATTACCAACTTCAAATGGGCTCCCCTCTTTACCATATTCCTCGGTGGCATCTCACTTCACGTGTCCAAGGCGCTCCTCTGCCACTTCTTCGAAATCAACATCCAGTGGGGCGCAACATCCAAGGAGGTGGAGCGGTGTAACTTCTTGGAAGAGGTTCCCAAGATCCTCAAGAGCTTCTGCGGTACATTCGTCTTCTGCTTCCTCATGACGGCGCTCATGGTATGCGGCATGTACGTGTTCCCGCGGGTCTGGCGCATCGACGAGTTTGCTTCCATCTACCCGCTCGCGAGCGTGACCGTGTGTCACTTTTTGCTGCCCGTTCTGTTGAATCCGGCCTTGATGAAGTTTAGCTTCTAGAGGGCTGCGTTGAATGGGAGATCGTGCCATGATGGTCCAGGCTGTCTGGTTTCTGCTGGTTTTCGAGGTGCCGAAGTTGCCGTCGTCTTCCGATGCTACGATGCAGATGTGGATAGCGTCTCAAACGCTGCAATCAGATCGATCTGGCTTTATTTTTTTAGGTAGCTAGTTTGTATTGATTGTCGACCTGTATTTGTTGGCGGCCTGTCCCGGCCGTGCCATTCGTCTCGGTCGTCCTGCAAGCCTGTCTCGTTATAGCCTAGTTGAGCAGCCTCCTCTACCATCGATTTCAAGGAGAGCCAGAGTGGGCTGGAGCGACAACTGATAGATACCGCTTATATGAGTCAGACCTTGAAGCAAAGTGCGCAGTCTTCTAAATCAAGTCACCGACTGCCTCTCAACTGTCAATCATAGCGTGGTCATCCCACATCAGGTAAGGTAGGCCGCTAGATAGGGCTGGCGGACAGGTCTTTCAGGGGTAAGGGGCAGAGCTTGGAGGCTGGCACCAGTCAATTATGGGGAAGCATCGACCCGCCAGGCCCCTACCTTTCCTCGGATGACGTACCGAAGTCCACTGTGAACTGTGACGTGACGACATGTCGTCCGTTGAGCACTCCTTCCCTGTGGCTGTCCCATCTTGCGGCTCTCCTTCTCAACCAAGTGATGGGTGAGTCCTTCCGATGTCCCATCTTGCCACCGAACATTACAGATTCCAGGCAATGGGAGCCTCTGTGCACCGCAGAAGGGCACCTCTCAAGCCGTAGCCAGGGCACCAGTCTCAGGAGTTCACCATTGGCCGATATAGATGGATATTGCGCTTTCGATCTGAACACTAGGAAGCGTAATGTTGGGAAACCCGCACTGAAAACCCACCCTTTACGAGGCAAATCCATCACACCCACTCGGCCCGAGCAGCGTCGTCATCTTCCAATGGGCCACTGGCGTAACACCACGCGCGCCACGCCTGTCATCCCACGCATCCAGCGCCAGCTTGACAGTATGACATCGATGGCGAGCTGACAAGGCTGTTGGAGTAAAAACAAAAAGGAAGGGAAACTATATCTCTTGGGTACATCCGGCTTGCTTGCTCCGAAGGAAGCTTCTCTCCGAAAAAACAAGACACAAGCCATACTAGCAAAACCTCCACTCTCCAAGCACCGCCAAACCTTGCACAAGCCTTTCAAGAAGCCCCCCGGACCAGAAGTTTTCACCGCGCAGGCCTCTCGCTGACGCCGCCATGTCCCAAGAAGTCGTGCGTCTCCAACCCCCCCCACCGTTCCGCCATTCTCCTCTCAGAACCTCCAGGAAACTGACCGGCGCCCACAGCCCCGCCACGCCTCCGGCCTTCACGGCGCGGACTCCCTGTCCTACACCCATTCTGACGCCAGCCTCGGCGCCTCCACGTCCTCTGGGCTGCCGACTTACGAGCAGCGCGCCCGGTCCTCGGGTCTCGGGCTCGGGCTCGGGCTCGGCACCGGTCCCGCGGCCGTCGCAGCCAGCGGCCCTGGGCCCTCGCTGGCGGATCCCACGCTTCGGCACCAGCAGACGACGATGGGCACGGAGGTGAAGGGCTCCGAGACCACGCAAAGTAACCCGGACGGCACGGTTCCGACAGATATCGCCTCCGAGCCCAGTCACGCCGCCGCCCCGCGTGTCAGTTCTGTCGGTCAGAGCCAGGCCAAGGGCGACAGCAAAACGGGCAAGCTGATGGAGAAGGCGGGCGTCAAGCTGCACAGCGCCAAGCTGGCAGAGAAGGGGGAGGCCAAGCGGGAGAAGGCGGCTGGCGTCCCAGTCTGAGCGGATGGGCGAGCGGATGAACGAGAGGATACTCCTAATGACTTTGTTTTTTCATTTTCTCTAGATAATTTTTTCAGATAATTCTCAGATGCGCAATGCTGTCATTTCCACATTTCAGATCATGCTTCGTAACCCCCTTCCCAGACCCTTCCGTCTTCTACCATGTCCTGAAAAGCCATGCGGAAGCTCTCATCGCAGAAGCTTCGTCACCCGCACAAGCAGCACACCCTCGGTGAGATGCCCCTCGCAGTCGGACAGGTGCACGAAGCGGTAGCCACCGCGCAGCCTGTTGAGCCTGACGCACGCCCACGCCGACAGATCATCACGGCCAAACTCATCGTCGCGAACGGTGAAGCGCACAAACGCGAGCTCCTCGACCACGCCCGTGATGCCCGTAAACTTGAGCGCCTCGCCGCCAAAGTCTGGATCGCGCCCGCGCAGCGTCTGCGTGCGCTCCTTGTACTCGCCCTCCCTCTCCTGCCCGTTGTCGGCAATGTGCTCCTCGGGCCCCTCGATGTGGAGCTCGACCTTGACATATGGCTTGAAGCCCTTGGCGTCGTCGTCGCCCGGCGGCAGCGGTATATTCTGCGCGGCGAGAATGTCAATCTGCAAGTCCAACGTCTTGCGGACAATCTGAGAGGCGGGGACGACATTCTCCACGTGGGTGACGCCTTTGGAGCCGCGGTAGCCCTCGGGCTTGAGGACATAGCCGTGCGTGCCAGCGAACATGCCTTCGTTCAGCATCATGCCCTCGTCCCATCTCTGCCAGTTCAGCGCCACGATCTGGATGCCCTTGCGCCAGAAGGGGGCAGGATCAAGGTTGGAGGATCTGACGCGCATGCCTGAAGGGTATGCGCGCATCATGTAGTTCTGATTGTGCGCGAAGAGAGCCTTGCTGTTCTCCTCGTGCACGTCGATAACCTTCTTCTCAGCAAGGGAGAAGATGTGCGTCGGCATTGCCGCCTCAGGCTGGTCAAGGCTTTTGAAAGAGACGCCGCGGCTGTTAAAGCCCAGATCGCTGAGCTCCTGCGTGATCTTGGACGGCTTGGCTTTCTTGCCATCGGCAGGCGTCTCGTCGTCCTGGTCCGGCGTGTCGCGTCCGGGTGAGCTACCAGGAGGAGCGTACTTGACCTTGACGATGATCTTGTTCCTCAGCTGGCCGGGTTGGGGCAGCTGCGTGGGCTCAGTATCGGGAATGGGAACAAGCAGCTCGGCCCAGACCTCTTTCATGATTTTCACCATGATGCTCTGCTGTTCAGCGCTGCAGTGCACTTCGAGACTAGCAATCAACGGCGTATCCGTTGTCTTGAAGGCGTAGTCGCGTATGGTGACACAGACATCGCGGAACGAGACCTCCTTCGTAAGGGTATACCCGTGGAGCACACGTGGCTCGACAATAGCCAGTTGCGGTGACGGTGTCTTCTTCAGCGCCGAGGGTTCAGAGGACGCAGCAGGGGCCTTCGTTTCGCTGCTGGTGGGCTTGGCGGCCGCTTCGGAGCCTGTCAACGACAAGCGTTTGAGCTTTCGTGCGAGCGGATTCGGCACCTTGTCCTTGAGTCTCTGGAGTCGGCTCTCCTTCTTCTTGGGCGCCGAGGCTGCGGGGGCACTTCCTTCCTCATCGCTGCTGATGGAGCTCTCCGAGTCCGAGTCGTCCCCGTCCCAGACATCAATCTCAATGCACCTGCAGCCGCGAAGCAGGACGTTTTTGTAGGCATCAGTGCTGGACTCGCTGTAGAGCTGGTTGCCGGTGAGGTAGGTGTTGTGGCTCGAGCTGATAAAGTAGCTGTGGAGGGGCCATGACAGATCCTGATCCTTTGGGGGCGCCGTGATAGCTGAAGAAGCGGACGTCATGTAGGCGAGAAATTCATCGTAGCTGAGGCCGTCTGTGGAAGCGATGCCGGGCTGCTTGGGTGGAGCATCTGTGTCGTGGGCGTCGCCCTGGACGTTCTTCAAGAACGAGGCGATTTCCTCTTGCTGCCAACGCCCGTCTGCGCCAGCGGTAGAGTTGAATACGCTTCTCAGATGCTTTTTGATAGGATCATTCAGCGTCTTGACAATTCGCTGCGTCTCGCTGGCGCCACCGCCAACCTGGGTTCCGCCCAGGGAGGGGGCCGTTTTCTGATCAGCCATCATGGCAGAGCAGACTTCGAAGAGCAATTTACGTTAGCACGGCCTGGAGAAGCACCATATCTCAGGATAAAGATGAAGCGGGGGTCCTGAGGTCTCAAGCAAATGCGTGCGGTGGCGTGTCAGCAGCAAGGCGGCAGGCGATGGAGAAGGAATAGTTGAGGGGCTCTAGGTAGTACCTATGCTGAGAGGGGCGGGTCGAGTACCAGACAGCAACTTACATGTGTGTCACACTAGAGGCAATCTAGAGACTTCTGCAAGCTTTTGGAGACTGTGATGTCCAGTTGAACAGTCTTATGAGTTATTTGCGGTGGGTGAAAGTTATGTGCACCCGAGATGATCAGCGTGTCGTGTGTCCTGTATCGTCGTCGCTTGGCCTTGATTTGAGGTGGTCCAGACCTCAGCTGGAGGGGCTCGAGCAGGGGTCCTTATCGATAAAGCTTGCCCCTCCCCCGCCGCCATTGCAGCCAGTGCTTGCTCGCTGCCCAGCTCATGTCGTTAACAAGAGGCAGGACAAGAATGCAGTTTTGTGCTTGAGAGGCGTCTTCTGTGGATCGAATAGTAACCCGGTTTTCTGGGGTCTTTTCTCGTTTCATGGCTCTCCCCAGGAAGTCGAGGCGCACAAGCCGCTAGACTCAGGGCGAGACGAACGGTCAGAGATGAGAGGGCCGCTGTGAGATCGATCTCGGGGAGGCTCGAACGGGCCACAGCCGAGATCAAACCTGGTGCCCTACGACAAATGCGGCAGCCTTGAACTAGGTAAAGAAGTCGGTGATGAAGGACAATGTACGTATGGATGCAGCCAATCTTATTGACGGACCATCGAGTCAGGAGCCAGCTACTCTTTCAAAAAAAAGCAAACATCTTCGTTATCATTACATTTGGTCTGTATGGGCCATGCCATTCGTGCACAACGAATTTTCATAAGGCCCTGACCTCGCCGATGATACTCGCAGCTGCAATCAAGGCTAATGTATTCACAGCTGCACCAACAAGATGTCCGTTGCACATGCTGTGAAAGGATCTTGGAGACGGCATCTGCTCATAAATTCCAGGGGTTGCGTTTGTCCCTTCCTTGCCTTCCAACAACGGACCTTGGATGTGGGCCGCTCGCCAGTGGGAGGGGAGAGAGGGGGGCGGATCCTCTGTTTCTCCTCACAGGCTCCTCCTCTCTTGTCCGTTTTCGCGTCTCTCTCCCCCACGCCAGGGTGATAGCCTTGGCCATTGGCATCGCCACCGACGGTGGCTTCGCTCGTCCGCTGTCACACTGAGATCGTTGCCAGCTGAGATGAGGGTATTGGGTATTGGCATGTGCGATGTGCGATGCGTGCCGGTTCCGGATGTGCACGCTGGCACGCAATTGATCCCATCCGACGGCACGTTGAACTGGCCTTGACGTCAGTGAGCCCGCCAATGGCATTTGGCCACTGCTTCTTGAAGCACCAAGACATGGAGGACCGAATTGGGTTCCGCTAACAACAGGGCCTCCCATTGCAAACGACATCATCAACCACCAGCTCGGACCATCACGCTATCTATTTCCGCTCATCCCACCCACCCAAGCAAGAGACAGACAGAGGTGTCTGCGACCCCGCACATCCTCCAACCCCTCATCATCCACCCTCTGTTTCCTCCTCCACCGTCCGAATTGCATCACCGATTGTGAA